TAAATAAATAAATATATATATATATATTATATATATATATAAACGAGGCGACGTTGCCCCTCCTGGAAGAAGAGAGAGGCAACGTCGCCGATATATATATATATATATACCGAGCGGTATACCGAACGGTATACCGCTCGGTACACAGTTTCGTACCGTACCGAGCGATCGTCGAAACTCCGGTACGGTACGAAATTACAGACCTTGGTTTACCTATCACCATAGTTCTCTATTTAGGACAACCATAGAAACAAAGCCTAACGTTATGTATTAATCTTTGATACTTGATTGTAGTATACTTTGCGTTGGCTACAATTGTTCTCTATGTAGGACAACCACAGAAACAAATAACATACCATTAGATGATGCAGGAGCAATTTAATTTATATCTTATTTAAATAAATTTGTTTAATTTAGGGATATTTTGCATATGAAAACCTCTACTCAACGAGGAGAAAAGGAAAACAAATGTAGAAAAAACTGAAAGAAATTAGATTCATTCTTGATTGAAGATTGCAAATTTTGACCAAAGATTCATCTCTATAAAAATGAAAGTTTATCAATATCATTAAGAGAGGAAGATTATTTTTTAAATCAATTCAAAATTATTGCCTCCTTCTAAGGGGACATATTATATATTTAATTTGATATGATTGTAAACTTTTGTATTTCTGTAGTTTTCTTTTTATTCTTATATTTGGGTCTATAAAAATGGGGCTAGACATTGTAATGAGGGTAATTACAATTGTTTGATGCAAACAAAATGAGGTTCACTTTGGGCCTGCATGTTTCAATTGTTTGATGCAAACAAATTGGTCCACTTTGGGCCTGCAAACTGCCTGCCAGGTTTGGTTTTTGTAACACTATGGATCTATCATGTTGCTGAAGAACTGATAGAAATAAGACATTAAATAATTGAATTTCATCTAAAGTCTCTCCACAAAATGAGGTTCTTTATTTAATTATAATGAGTTGTTTCAATTCCAAAACAATAACAATTAGACGTAATGTCCCAACTATTTGGGGTTGGTTGTATTGATCTTTTGCCTCCATTGCGCTTTGAATAAGACAATATTCTTAGTTGAACTAAGAGAATTTAAATATTTATATTTTTTAGTAAAGTCCTTATGTCTCCCTCTATCTCTCATCACACCACTAATAATAATTGTCGAACCTCCTCGAACTATAGCATCTATTTGTCTCCTTGCACATGTCCATCTGATTTTAATGATTCTTTCTCATTTTAGCTTTTATTTTAATACATAGATGAAAATATTTCTCTATCTTTTCTACTAACTTTATACAGTCATCTTAACATTCCTATTTTAGCGACATTAATTCTTGTATATATTGCTAATTAACCGCCCAACATTCTGATTCGTAAAACATTGTTGCCTAAATAATCATCTTATGATTTTTTCTTTTTAATCTACTTGGTACTTGGTGAGCAAACAAAACTCTCGACTCTCCTTTTCAAACCACCTAGTTTTTTTTTGGAACAATATCTTCAATAATATCTTTATCGTGTTGAATAATCGAACTAACATACCTAAAAATTTTACTTATTATATTTTATTTTCCATCCAACTTAAATATATCTTCAAATTTTCTCTTAATATATCTGAAATTATATCTCATATATTTAGTCTCAATCCTACTTAATTTATAATCTTTAGTTTCTAAATTTTTTCTCCATAACTGAAGTTTAAATTTAAATTAAGCTCTTCTCAACAATATCATCGGTATATAAGCTACACCATGGAAATCTATCACCAGTAAGTTGTTTATTACCAGTGTAAAAAGGTATCCTAGTAGGACTTACGGTTGATCCTTGATGTAATCCTATATTGATACTCTGATAGGACCTAAAGTTAGTTCTTGACTTAAATTTGTCTCAATTCCATCAGTTGAATTCAGTTCTATGTCACTTGGTGTTCCAAAACCTTTCTTCAACTCTACGGGTTCCAAAGAATCCAAACTATCTCATGTTTGTTCCAAACTGTCCATGAAACCCAAACATATCAAACTTGAACTTGATGGGAGTTGAGAGCTTGATTTTCATTGTTCATTTTAATATCCTTCGGATGCCGTTTAGAAAATCATAATGCATCTCATTAGCTACTTTTCTTTTCTGTCTCATTTGTAGGTAGTAAATATATTTTGTGACAAAAAATTTATGGTGATTTCTATCCTTTGATCCAAAGTCATACAAGAATTTATGTACTTCATTATTTGGTAGGTGTCAATTGGCAGATTTGGCCTTTCATCTCCCAAGGGAAATAAAAGAAAATGTGACACTCACATGGTTATGAAAATGATATGACAGTAAGAATTATGATATCATGCTCATGCATTGTAATACTTGAGTTTTGTTCTTTGACAGCGATATGGTGAAATAAGCAAGCAAAGACTTGATCGTGCCATTCTCACCTTTCTCCAGAACTTCAGAAAATCATATGTTGGTGATCATGCCATGCATTCATCTAAGGTAAAAGATGTGGGTCTAGTCCTGCATCATTATTTCCCTTGTATGTTTGATGCTTTCCTTTTTCCTGCAGCAGTTATACTTGAGGTTATCAGAGCTTCTTGGGCTCCATGATCATTTAGTACTGCTTAATTTCATCGTGGGAAAAATTGCTATGAACCTTAAGCACTACCCACAGGTGACTTTTGAATTTCAGAATTCATGTAACTATTTTCCTTGGAACTTCTACATAACTTATTTTTATTCATTTATGCAGTGTGAGGATGTTATTGAGCATACATTATCCCTTTTTTTGGAGTTAGCATCTGGGTATATTATCTTGCTTAACTTCTATTTTCCTTGCTGTTTATTTTAACTTTGTTTGTCTGCATTCTTATAAACTGTTGTTTTTAACAGTTACATGACTGGGAAGCTCCTGCTTAAGTTGGATTCGATAAAGTTCATAATTGTAAATCACACAGTAACTCCTTGCTCTTAGTTTGCTCCTGTTTTTGTCCTATATTTGGGCTTGTGTAGAGGTGTTAATACTGATGTTATTACCATGCCATACATTTCAGAAGGAAAACTTTCGATTTCTCGAAGAATATAGGTGTTTGCACAGTAGAACAACATTTTACTATACTCTTGGTTACTTAATCTTTATGGAAGACAGTCCAGTGAAATTTAAGGCTTCTATGGAGCCACTTTTGCAGGTAAGTGTTTGATGGTTTTGACATAGTACTTTGGTGTTTTCTTCTATTTATCCTTAGAACTTTTGTTTTTCCAATATTTCATTTTACCTGAATATAATTTCTGTTATTGCAGGTTATGATTGGTTTGGAGTCGACTTCTGATGCTGCATTTCGTTCTGATGCTGTAAAACATGCATTTATTGGTTTGATGAGGGATCTAAGAGGAATTGCAATGGCAACAAATAGGTACATTTTGTTGCCATGTTCACAAATTTCATGCTCAGAGACTGAGATTGTGTATGTTCTTACAGTTCTTCTTTTCAGTCGTAGGACATATGGGCTCCTTTTTGATTGGTTGTATCCCTCCCATATGCCACTTCTCTTAAAAGCCATCTCACATTGGTCTGATGTGCCAGAGGTATGCATTCATGCTTCCCTAGGTGTTTACTGCTGCCTGTTCAATGAAGAACCTTTTGCGTTTCTCTTTATCTATATATATATATATATATATATATATATATATATATATATATATATATATATATATATATATATTTGTATTTGATGTTATCTAAGAGATGAGCTTGATTTCCTTTTCCTATGGAAGTCCTACCTTTAGAGGGTTGTTCTTCCAAATCACTTTTTGATGTTATCCTGCACGTTTATGCTGTTACTTTGGTCCATTCCTGTCAACCTGGGGAACCAGTGATTCTGGTTTTGCCCAATCTAGCTGGTTGGTTGTGACCTTGCACAAGAGCCCCCTGAATCATCATTACTTTGTAGGTTCTTGAATATTGTAATAGAACATCTATTCTCTTATATAGACATCCATGAGCATTCCTAAGTCTCCTCTCTATAATTTATTTGTTCCCTAGTCTGGGCCAGGACCGACACCATTGGTCGGCACGAGATGACAATCCTTGGTTCATGCAACACCTTGGTCTCCACCTTCCTCCATTTTATTGGATTATGGGCTCAAAAAGAGGGCAAGCCTTAGTGCCACTGTAAGGTTATTCCTTTTGCTACTAAAATGACCAAAATGAAAGCTGTAGGAACAGCTCTTCGCTTGTAAGGGTAATGGGATGGTGAGTCTGCAAGGGCAACAACCTTTCTGTCCTAAGTAACCACAATAAGATGCATATATTTACCAGATTTTGCATTAGTGGGAATCTCGTGTACTAGGCAATGAAAGC